CCAAAGAGAGTTCATCCCCATACCAGACTCTGATTACAGAGACCCTGCATCTGTTATCCCGAAAGGGGCCTAAGTTTAGGAAAACAACGTTAGGTGGGCAAGTCTCGCCAGAGGAGAGCGGCGGTGGAGAAGGCAGTGCACGCCTCCTGCCACGCCCGGAAAGCTGGCACCCCTCGGCGGAGGCCGAAGTCACGCTCGCTGCCTCTGGGGCAGGGACACCGAGAGACACGGAGGACACCAGGACCTGCTCTTCCCGCTCCCCCCACGGCAACTTCATCCACCAGAGATAAAACTTGTGGAAAAGAAGCGGAGTAACTGAAAGAAGCCACCGCAAGAGATGGATGGTGTTTCAGGTCGGCGGTCTGCCATGTGCCCAAACCCTTTAATACCAGTAAAAACACAATCCCAGGCATAAGCATCTGCAGCTGCTCAGTGCAGCCGTCCTGGGTTCCCTGATGCTTCACACAGAGTTTGACGACTGCCTCAAGCCTGTGAGGCAGGAGAGGGTGTGACCGCGCACAACACGGACCCGAAAATCTCCAAAGTGAAAAGAGAAGGGGCCAGGCTACATGCAGAGAATGTCAAATTCAGAGAGCAAACAACAACAACAACAAAAAAAACAACCTCCTGACCTATGACCAAAAAAAAAAAAAAAAATCTCCTATAATCACCCTTCTCAAGATGACTGTTGGCTGCCCAAAACCTCAGACAAAACTCACACGGGATGGCCAGAAGAGACTGCTGTGGTCAAAAACACGTGGATGAAGTTCGATGGACCTGTCGACAAGGCTGGCCTAGACCCGATCCCTGGCTTTCCCAGCCAGGTTTGACAAGGACCAACATCTGCTCTGTAATCACAGTGGGATCCACTTCTCTGCTTTGCAGCTCCCACCGCTCCTGCCCTTCACGGGCAGCCTTGGGAACCTTGAGCCAAAGGATCCCAGCTAGAGGCTACACTTTGCTGCGACAACTTCACGTTATTTTACACATTGCAGAGCATACATTTCCTAAATTACTCTATAATCACATAATGGTTAGAAAAAATCTTCTGCTTTTTAAAAAAATGTGTCAGCCTCAAAAACTTAATTTACTGTGATTGCACAATATAAGAGTACTGTCAGGTAAACTAGCTTGTGCTATCCATGAGCTCTGAGAAAAATGAAACGCAGGATAAGAAACTTTGTTTGCTGGAGAAAGATATTTTGCTCATCTTCAGATTTGTACATTTAGATATCTAAGGGGATTTTGTTCACGAATTGCAGATGAGGTGGGTAGGAACTGTTAAGCAGCATATACCCACTTTTTTGGGCATATAAAGCCGGGGGGCGGGGGCAGTGGGGGGGGACGGCGCAGCCCCCACGGCGCCGAGGGGCCCTCGGTGCCCTCAAGGGAAGAGGAGGGGTTACCCAGGGCTGCTCCGAGCAAGCGGCTCTGCACCCGCCACCTCTCTAAAAACACCCCTGTCCCAAAATTGCCACTTCTGCTGCCAGTGGTAGGGGCATGCCGGAAAAATACGGTGATCCCTCTCCTTATGCGAGGTCTTGGAAAGGGTCACTGGAGGAATCCAGTCCTGAAAATACAGACGGTTTCCTGTATTCCTAGCAGTTTGCAACACAGCAATTTATTATTTTTATAAAATAATGTTTTCATAACTCGCGCCCCCCCTCCCTCCCGTGTTCTCATTAAATCTTCACTGGTTGCCTGGGAAGAATACAGAAAAAATGCAGGACAGAATTATACTTCTGAAAATAAGCGGCTTCCCCAAATTATTTTGCAATACAAACCCACTGCATTACTGACACCATTTCTTTCAATAAACAGTGACACAAACAGTGTTGGGACTGCGTGGATCTATCGCTGACTGAAAACAAGCAGAAGGAACCAGGTTTTAATTATTGAGACTGCAGAAATAACTCATCATCGGAAGGAACATCTTGGCGAACGAGAGATTTCCTTTAAAAAATAATCGCTGAGATGTTTTCCGTCCCAGAACGGGGGCTCGGTGGCACTCTTGGCCAGCTGCCCGCTCGGCCAGCCCGGTGCCAGCGTTGGGGACCGCTGCCCGGGGGGACCCCGCGAGCATCCCGGTGCTGCCCAGGCCCGGGGGGGCCGGGGGGGAGCGCGCCCACCCCGCGGGGCCCAGCGAGAGGCGCGCCGGGCGGGCAGGGAGCGACGCTCACAGCTCGGCTCCTCCGGCGCTAGGGAAACGCCGCGCGCGTTTGATGCTCGGCTGATTAATTACACTTTCGCACGAATTAACTATTTGGAAATGAGGGAGCTGTACTTCTTGTTTCACCCCGTGTTAACACTTAGAGGCTTTTACCAGAAAACCTCAGCTGCTAAAGGAGGCTTTATTCCTCGGCTTTGGTAAAGATGATGAAAACTTAATGTGAGAACTGAGGCTGGCGCTTGGCTCACTCAATCTGCCGCCTTATTCACTGAAATACGCGCTTTCTCCCCTAATATTTTACCTCGAAACGAGACTGGCAAGTAACAGTTTCTCCTCAGTGCAGCGCAGGTGACCCCGCTTGCTCTCGCCCCGGCAGCCCGCGGGACGTGGGTCGATGGGCAGTGAAGCTGCAGGGCTGAGCGAGCGCGGCGGGACACCCCCCATCAATCCATAAAAACGGGGCGTCCCATAAATCACCCTGAGCCTCCTGCAGCCAGGAAAACGCTGACTCAAAGCTGCGGGAATGACTCCCATATCCTAGCATTAATTATTAAAAAAAAAAAAAAAAAAAAGGAACGCTGGATGCTTTCGGCACACGGTGCTGCCTCTGTAACCGAGTAAGGCGGCAACTTCCAAAGCCCTCGCTGCCGGAGAACAGACAAAATTGGGAAGCCTGGTGCGGAGAGGCGAATCAACACGTGCCAGCCGGAGGGAGCTGATGGCCATCTTGCCGAGGAGGCTGGCAACTACAGCGCGCTGCCAACTTCGGGTGCTGCAACGGACGGTGACTGAGAGGAGCTAAATTCAGATGGCTACAGGGCTGGGAGGAAAACAGCTCCTTTTCTAACACCCAGATTGCTTTATCCAGCTCACTGGAGTCTGTATTTAGATAAACAGCCAGCTTCCAGTACTTAGGATGCTGATAGCAATTATTTTCATGCATTTTGAACTATATTTATGTTACAAATATCCAATGAGGAAAAATTCAGAGGGAGCAGTGACGATGTGCAGCGAGATAAACAGCCCTACCCTTCTCCTGCAGACTCTTTTGAAAGTGTTTTTTCTCATGGCAATCCTACATTTCCCCTTTCCAGTTGCAGTACCAGCTGAAAACAAAATAAACTCTGACTTGAAAGAGAGCCTACGAAAGGCATATGAAATGAAAGAAGTTAATCATACAGGAAGAAGAATGAAAAAGCAGCTGTAACACACGTTATCCCACCATCTAATTGCTTTGTTCCAGAGTTCAGTAGTGATGTTAATGCCTCCTTTAGCAGCATCTCTTACAGAACAGATACTCTCCCTCCCTTGTGAGACACAAGTAATGTTTTAATCTTAAAGCTCTAATTTCATTTATGTAACCTACCCAGCTGCACAGACATGGAGTTTCAAACACAATCATAGGCCTAGAAAACTGACTGGATTCCAGCTGAAACCCAGCAGGAGGTAACCTTTAGAGCAATTCCACGGTTTTTTAATAAGGTACTTCTAAACATAGATTTGTTTATGTCCTAATAACGTTTAGCACTGGCTATCTGTCTTAACTGCCCACAAACTCACCAAGTTATCTTCTCTGCAACCTTTAAGTCTGAAAGAGTAGAAATAAAATGGACTTTTTTTTTTTTACTATTATTATTTCCTTTGATTCTCCAATGCTGCAGGCAGAAAGTACGAGGACTTTAGGACATGTCAAAATACAGAGTATAATTGAGGCATACATAAAAGATACTTGTCAGCTGCCCTACATAGACATCTACTGTATTTTCAGTAGCTACTACACCAACAGCAGGCTGACTTGCTATAAAACGATTGCAAACTCCTACTGAAAATACCTCATGCAGCATTTTACAGCAGATTGTAGGATCATCAAAATTGCATATGGCTAAAATACTTTGTAGTCTGGAGACCTGAGCGACACCCCCAAAAAAATAATACAGCCAGATACTTCATCGCTTAAAACTACTGTCAATTAAATCGGAGATTTGTCACAAGCAAGGAGGCTGAACACACTGCAATCATATTCCAGATGATGAGAAAATGCATTTTGCTTGAACAGTAGGAAGATCGTGACAAAAGTACAACGCATGAATAAAAAGTTAGAATTGGAGGGGGGGGGGGGGTGGGGAATAATCAAATCAAGCCAAAGGGTTAGTGAACTCAAATCAGAAAGAAGGATTCAAGTAGATTAAGTACGGTGTACGAGTACTGGTAAACAAATTTTGCTCCAGTCGACCAGAGCGAAGAGGAGCTCCAGGTTCATTAGGGGAAGCAGTAACCGAGCTGCGGTAAGCATCGCATCTCCTGCTGGCGTAAAGCTAGCTCGCCACGGTAATCGCTGGGAAACGCGGAAACGTTAAAAATAATAATAATAATCAAAAAATCGAGAAGTGACAACGCGGATACTTGTGCGAGGGCGTGATGCCGAGCGCCGCGCTCCAGCCCCGCGCTGCCGGGACCGCAGAGCCCCAAACTGCCCGGGGCAGCCCAAACCGCCCCATTTCACCCGCTTTCCCAAACTTCTCGCCGCGCGCCTCCCTTTGCCGAGCAGACAAGACTTCAAACCGGGAAACGACACCCCGACACCCCCCCCCAACATCAACCCACCCCCCCACCCCCCCCTCCCCTCGGCGGGCAGCGGCCCCGGCCGAGCCGCCCCCAACCCCGGGGATGCGGGAACCGGCGGCAACTCCCCCCCCCCCCCCCCCATCGCCGCCGCAGCCCCCCGGGTCCCTCCGGGAGCCCCCCGACCGCTCCTGGGCTGCGGTGGCGGCTCCGGGCGCCCCGATATCCCACCCCCCCGCATCCCATCGCGGCCGCGCTCGCCTCCTACCTAAGCACCGCCGTGTCCCCCTTCCTGACCACCAGATTGTCCACGGCCGCCCCGGGGTAGTCTCCGCCCGGAGCGGCTAGTCGCCCGGGGGCCAGGAGACAGCAAAGGCCGAGGACCACGATCGCCAGCCACTGGTGGGAGCCCCCGGCGCTCCGCACCAGCGGCACCATCTCCGCGCCGCCTTGCCCCCGCGCCCGGCCGAGCGGTTGGCCTCCGCGCGGGGCGGCCCTGGGTGGGTGCCCGCGGTGGGTGGTGGCGCGGAGCGGCGCGGAGCGGGGCTGCTCCCGGGCGGCCGCCGCAGCATCCAGCGCGGAAGGGCAGCGCGCCCGCTCTGCGCTCCGCGGCGGCGGCTCCGGCGGGCGGCCCCCGCTGCCAGCCCCGTTGCCACGCAGCCGTCGCCCTGGCAACCGTCCCGGCGGCGGAGGGATGCGCGACGCCCTCCCCGCCGCTCCGCGGGTCCACCCCCCCCGCCCCCCCCCTCCCCATCCCGCCCTTCGCCATCCCGGTTTGCAGACGTTGCCCCCCACCTCCGACATCCCGGGTTGCAGACATCCCCCCCCCCCCCCGCGCTATCCCGGTTTGCAGACATATCCTCCCCCCCTCCCCTCCCCCGGCACTGCCCGCGGGGTGCGCAGCCCCCCCCCCCCCGGGGCACTTTTTGCGGGGGGCGCTGTGTGTGTGTGTATGTGCAGGCCTAACACCATCACTTGCTTTCACAGCGTGCCCGGGTGCCACAGCTCAGCCGAAATTCCTCTACAGGACCGCTCTCTTCCCCCCCCCCCCCCCCCCCCGCGCGTTTTAACAAAAACGCGCACACACCCACACCCCCCCCACACACACACACACACCCCGCCTTGCCAAAAGCCAGCGAGTCAAGCGCGGCTTTAAGGCAGTGGTGCTGGAAGTCGCACCCCAAGAGCTCCACGGTGAGGCTTCCTCCTCCCTCGGGAACCGCTCACATTTCCAAAGAAATGATCCAGCCCTGTCCGGAATATAGGGTCGGCCACTCCGGAATTCCGGGAGTTCTATTTCCTAAAATTCTACCAGGATAGCTAGAGACTGCCACCACCAGCAGGAAAAAAAGGAGCAAAGAAACCTTTGACAGATTATTTCCCTGTGGACACACAGAAATTAGGAGCCCTTGTTTCCTCCTGTGGTCTTCCCCAGAGTGTTAAACACACACTGAGAGCATTGTCAGCCTCTGACAAATGCCACTAAGTGAGGAACTCTGTTCACCCAAACACCCACTTTCCAGTCTAACCCTTCATCACAGGACACGAGGTTGCACCTCGCCGGGATCGGCCCGGATCTCATGCAGGGATTACTCCCCTCTTGGTTTGAGGAGTTGCATAAGCGATGCACTGTTGTGTAACAGGCAGGAATTGCATGACTGCTGTGACATCAAGGGCAGTTTTGAAACGCTCTCACACTAATTCATGCACATCTGGCCCATACAATGTCAGAATTGTTCCTCCGCCGCAGCTCTGCCACCCCAGGCTGCCAGCCCGTGGTACAACGGGCACTGATTTTCCCGCGGCACTTCCACCAGCTGCCAGAGGATGCATTTTTCTGGTGCACCATTTTTTCCTACTCACAATTTGTATCGGAAGGAACTGAGAGTAGAATGTTCTGAGTAAAAAATCTTTAATAAACCTGATACTGCCGATGCTTGCTCTTCTGACAAACCTGTATTATTTCTCCTGTAAGCTTTACCCTCCTTCACTGCATCCCATTCCATTAGATCTTTCCAGCTGCCAAAATAAATTCTAGTGTACACAAAAGGGAATTCTTCCCCTACTTCTGCGGCACATGATACTAGAGAGTTTCCTTGATAAGGGAAGAGAGAGGGGAAGAGAGAGAGAGGTGGCTCACAAATCTTGGATGTGGAAGACGTCAGTATTATCTCTATAATACAGTAAAGCCTTTTTAACATTAAGTACAACTCCGCGGCGAGACAATTCTCTCTGCTGGCACACACGCAACTGCCGTGGCGTGCAATACCCATCCACTGGGACCACGGCAGCAGGAGCTCCCTGCAAGCAGCAGCTGAACGTCTAGTACCAAAAATATTGTTCAGGAATCTTTCTGAGGCAGCACCATGCATTCCGAAATGGGCTTGCCAACTGGACGGACTCCAGCCCCAGCCTCAGTTGCTTTCGCTACCAGGGAGTTGTTAATAAGAGGCGGAGCTGTCCCACACCTCACACTGGCACCGTCCCACATTCAAAAACACACAATAATCTCCTGTAGGACCTTTCCAGACACGTGCACTTCTTGCAGTTAGCAACCACAAAGCACCACGTGTCAGACAGTTGCAAACGTCCTCTCTGCACAGCTCTCGAGTATCATTTCTACCATCGCTCACCAAGTTCTGCTGTCAGCAGCGTCAAAGCCATTCTCCAGACGCTGCAGCTTCAGCACGTTTGTTTCCAGAGGAGCCTCAGTAACCCAGAGATTTTGGTCTTAATGTCTTCTCTGACTGCACTCACCTGTGGCAATATCTCAGCTTCAAGCGCCATTTGCTACCTTCTGCCTATCGATCTGGAATCACAGTACAGTTGGGGCTCGGCAGGGACCTCCAGAGGTCACCTTGCCCACCCCCCCTGCTCCAGCAGGACCACCCAGAGCTGGTTGCCCAGGACCGTGACTAGTTGACTCTTGAGTATCTCCGGCGGTGGAGACTCCTCCACAGCCTCTCTAATGTTGGGTTACTGGGTGCACAGTGGTTTATCCTGCAGCCAAACTCATGACATCGCTCTGCTTTGGATCCCAGGGTGACATCTTCCTCTCTCACGTGCTCAGGTGTACTGGACTTTTCTTCTGGCTCTCTTAAGGTACCAGACGGCTCCTTTTGGCTGCTGCTGCGTAGGCTCACGCCGTCTACAACGCTGGAAGCAAAGCGAGCAGCACTGCAGCGGTTCTTCCACAAGACCCCGGGAGAAGGTGCCTCCTGCCACCCCACCTCAGGGCTCCGGGCCAGTCCCCGCTGTGCCATCAGCACTGCTGTGCAGGAGCGGATGCCCTGCTTCTCAGCTGCTGTCGTCAAAACCTGTGCCTCCTCTCCAAACCATCGCCCCCTTCCGAGCTGAGATCCTGCATTTAGATCTCGGAATGCTCTCCCGGTTCCTGCGCGTAAAGGAAGCTGGGCCTAAAAAATCAACCGGCTCAACCCGACAACCAATGCTTCAGCCAGCACACCTCTGTCACAACAACAGCAAAAGAAAAGAGTAAAGTAGGGAGAAATAGTCACCGAGGAGGCTTCTGTATACAAGACACAGATGACAGACACGCCAGCACCAATCCTACTTCAGTGGGTCCTGAAGACCTTTCCATCACTTTTCCCCACACTTCTTCCTTCCAAGCCTGCTTTCAATTAGATAGCCATCTCCTTTGCATGGCTTCCATTCCATTGCGCTGAGAAGAGCTTCTCAAGAGCTTCATCTTCCTTTTTTTTTTCCCAGGAAGTTTTCTTTCATTTCCAAGAACAACTAATATTGCCTTACCTTCCCTCTGATAACAGCAGACTGGCTTAGCCAAACTAGTAAGCAATGCAATCCTTCCTCTCTGCTGCAAAAATAGACCCTTCCACTATTTCTTGAATCAGTCCACACTTCACTATTCTTCATGTTGAACTTTTTGGGTAGGGGAAGTTAAAAAACTAAACCAAAACAAACATAAACCCCACACCTGTTTCTCAAGGCTTTCTGCTCTTCCTTTTCTCTCAACCATACTAAGGACCCAAACTAGATAATGACATTATTTTTATTAAAAAAAAAAAAAAAAAAAAAGTTCAGATCCATCAGATCAGTCTCTTGTCACTCCAGACTGCAAGTCTGAAAGAAGTGTGGCTCCTCCTGTGGCAGACATGCAAAATATTTCTGTTACAGCTGGCCAGACAACATTTGCCAAATCAATTAATTTTTGAGGTGGAACATTTATGAATGTGTTATTTTCAGTGCTGTTTCTTAGGCTTTGGGGAAAATACCTCTCCAAGCTATGATGCAATTTTTGCAAATGTGTTGGTATCAAGAGGAGGAAGACACTTAACCAAGTGGGAATGAGTTTTTACACGTGAAAAACTTCACACAGCTGTCTCGTGTAAGAAGCCCTTTGAATGTTCTGGTACATTAAGTGCTCAGATCATCCAGAGATGTGATATAATAGCTGAGATCTAATTTTAGGGAGAGCTCTGTAACCTTTAATGAGTCACATGATGTTGTTTTTACATGACCTTAACAAACAATCAAATAATTTGCTCCTCTTTGAATAAGAAGGACAAAAAGACATTTCCTCAGTAACTTTCTATTAATTTTGCAAAAGATCATGTAAATCTCAATTGATGATAGCCAAGATGAAGCTTTTTATTTTATTTTGTTCATTTTTAGATTCATATCCCTGGCTTTCATGCTATTTCCAGATCAATGAAAAAAAGAGCAGGTCAGGAGTCAATAGCAGTTATGCCAATCAGTGTTGCTCTAGAGATAAAATTCTTTCATCTGAATCTTCCCCACCTCCTCCCAAGTCTAGGAAGCTTGCAGGGGGAAAAAAAAAAAATGAAAAAGTCACACACCAGATGTGTACATATATAGAAAAATAATTTCTGTGGAGGGAAGACAGAAATCTTTCCCACTAGCAAGCTAACTAAGAGTTGCATTTGGATATTTAATGTGTTGGGAAAGATCTAGGTACTTCAAACACAGCAATGGCAAGGCCATAAGATTTTTCTTGTAATTCAACTGCGTATTTTTGTTTAGAGCCGTTCAGAAAAGCTAAATCTATTTGTTGTTTGCAGGTATCCGTTTAACCGCTTGCACAAATATTCAGGACAGATTCACAGACTCCACGTTTGGCTTTTTGCCGTTTCCTTCTGCGCGCTTCGCCCTCCCATAGCTGTTCCTCCACGCCAGAGACAGAATACAGGAGTTGAACGACTGGAATAAACTCCCGGAGAACTGGTACTTGTGGGCTGCGTCACCCAGCTGGACTCTGGTGGCACCATCTGCTCGGGGAAACCCCTCGCTCGGACGCGGCGCCTGGTCGTGGGATCGCTGTTTTTTGGTGAACTTTGCAGTTTTAGTCACGTTCTTGGCACTTCCTGGTCGTGGCGCGTTCCAGCTCGTTTCATTTTTCTGTGTGCTGTGGGCAGGGCTTACCAGCGGCTCAGTACAAATACGCTAGAGCTGCCCGAGGAACTGGCTCTATTTCTACATCTTTTAACATTGGCTGCAAATGTGCATGTCACATTTCAAGTTCCCAACAACATCCATGGCGGCAGCGTTTTCAAGGTACGTCTCGTCTTCTAAAACAATCGTGCTGTGGTGATGGAAGGCATTCTGGCCTGTATTTTGTTAATGACCCTAATCAAAATCTTTTTACAGAACCCCGTGAGAATCA